TGGAGCCATCAGTGAACATATTTATAGCGTTGCGTATATGGTGAGGCCTGGTGTCCCAGTACTTTCGAGTTGGTATGGTAATTATATAGTTTTTGGTGAAGGTGTTTGATGGTATGCAGTTCAGTACTTACAGCATCGGTATGGGCGCCCTTGTCCCTAGGATTGTTGAATGGCCTGATGGACTATAAGTCCAGAAGCCTGCCTCTCTAAGTCTTAAGGCTGCTATAGTGGCTATTTCCCGAGCTACCAGATCAAGCGGGGGCAGATGTAGGACCGCGTTAAGAGCTTCGGTCGGGGAGGAACAAAGAGCTCCACTTATGCATAGCTCTGCACTCCTTTGTACCTTTTGAAGTTGCCTGAGCGCTGTTGTCTTATCGAGGGTAGGCCACCATACTAGGGCTCCGTAAAGCAGAATCTGGCGAACAATGGAAATGTAGATCCAGTGAACTACCTTAGGTGAGTGGCCCCACGATATACCGATCGCCTTTTTACATGTGAAGAGTGCTGTGGTGGCTTTCTTGATGTGTTCCATTGTGTTGTCATCCCAGAGCAGTTTGCAGAACTCTCCAAGAACTACTCCAAGATACCTGGCAGTGCGTTTAAATTCTAGGCGTGAGCCATCGAGTTTGGGTGGTATAAAAGCCGGTACTTTGTATCGCCTGGTAAAGAGGACCAGCTCTGTTTTAGCTGGGTTTACCTCAAGACCGATGTTTTTGGTCCAAGTAACGAGTGAGCCAAGAGCAGGTTCTATAAGATCACATAGAGTTTGAGGAAATTTTCCCTGTACGATAACCGCTACATTATCGGCGTATGCGACTACCCCATACCCATCCGCCTCCATGCGCAGGAGCAGTTGCTTCACCGTCACTACCCATAGGTGTGGGGAGAGAACATCCCCCTGCGGAGTGTCCCTACTAACAGACCTATGATGCGTCTGCCCCCCCGAATTCGGGGCTAACCACCCTGCTGGTGAGCAATTGGTGGATGATCCTAACCAGGGGTTTCCCCACCCGCAGGTCCGTCAGAGCCGAGGTAATCGCAAACGGGATGACATTGTTGAACGCCCCTGCTATGTCTAAGAATGCTACTAATGCAAATTCCTTTGCTTCTAGTGATTGCTCAATTTTTGAGACTAGCGTGCGGAGGGCAGTCTCCGTGGATCTGCCCTTGCTGTAGGCATGTTGTGCATTAGATAACAGAGCTGGG